TCTGAAAAGTGGCTTAACATTTTTATTGTCACAAATGCCACTAAGTCCAGCTGGTGATTTTTGATATTGGACTTGGAAGGCAGGGCTGGGTGCCATGTTCAGAGCCATGTGTCAGTTTTCAAAGACTCAGAGTCCATAGCATCTTGATGGTAATCGGTCAAAGCCAACTTTTCACACATGGATTTTACTGTCACGAGACAGTATTGTAAAGCGAAGTAGGTTTTAGAAGAGGATTAGACATTGAGGCCAAGACACTCAAAAGTAACTAGAGGATTTAGGTGCCCTATATGGGATGCCATAAAAGTGACTTTTTTAGAAAGTGCTGAGCACTCACTCTCTGAAATTGAGAGCCCTGTAAGTGTATCAAACTGGGCAACACAAAACTGAGATATCCTAGGTTATGAGTCGCTGCTGAAAAACGCCATCTTCTCAAGAATAGAATCCTTGATTTGCCTATCTAGGATAAAAAAATCTGTATAACTGATATTAACCCCCCCAAACGTTCCGACATAAAGCCTAACGACTGAGGTTAGGAAAACATTTCCTCCACAGATACATTATTACCTAGGAGGGAAACTAATGGGTGAGTCACAACAGAAACCGAATAAAACAGTTTTCAGTGGGTTATTTACTCAAACCCCACAGCAATTTGATGGGCACCTATCATATAGTGAAATCTGTCTTGTAACTTCTTCTTCCATGAGGAAGAGTAAATAAAGACCTAGGAAAAACAATTAGCAGCAGAAGTGATTATTATTCCAACAAACTGGCTGGTGTTTTGAAAACTCAATTACGAACACAAAAATAAATAAATAACTACATAAAGTGGGAAATTAAATAGAATCACTCATGTTGCTCTCCCCAGATACCATTTTAAAGACATCTTTTTAATTAAGACAGTCATTGGAAACTAAGAGAAAGGAAACCAGGAGGGAATAAGCAGCAGAAACAAAACAGGCCCCTTTCAAGAATGAAAAGATAGCACTGCCGAAGCTTGTGCACTTCGGCCAGATTGTGAAAAGCGTTTCGGTTCCTAACTCCCTTCATAGCACGCCCCAGTCTACTGTGTGGTAGACTCCTACACCGGCAGGGAAGCTGGACTCAATGTTTCTCAACCCACAGTGTGTGACCCTTACTTCATGGACTGTGGAGAAAAAAGCCAAATCCTGCAGTTTGTAGGCTCCAGAGCATCTTGTTCTCCCCTTTCTGTCTTCTGCTCTTCCTGCCACCGTACCCCTCTTCCATCTCCGACCCAGTCACCACAGACATCTCTGCCTTCCCCTCCCCCAGTCACCTAGAGTACCTAGTTCTATCAGCCCTCCTGAGGTGGGATTTCCTGTGGCCTGTGTCTGCAATGGGTCCTGGGTTGGGGTGCAAGAGCTGGTGACAGGTGTCAGTGTGGAGGTTCTGGTCACTGCCTGGCAACCCTGCCGGCTTGCGGATAGGTCCCCGGGGCTTGCATGGGCTGAGGAAGCTCAGTGTGGGAGAGACTATAGTGGCAGCAGTATTTGTCTGGGTGCGGGGAGGCCTGCCAGCCTGGTGTTGTGTATGGGTAGGGGATATGGTGCCTCTAGACACTGTGGAGCCAGCCTCCCAGCCTCCAGAAGCAGCACCCAGTGAAGTGAGCGTTAAGCAGACAGAGGCGGGAGAAGAGGAGGGAAACAGTCTTAGCAACCGTCCACCACTGTCTCAACCCAGCCGCTCTCCCTCCCCTCCCAAACTCCCTTCCCAGCATCACACCTCTGCCAGCCCCACTGACCATCCCCACCATGCTCCGTCTGATGCTCAGCACCTGATAGGGTGCTCCATCTATTCCTCAAAGCACCCAACCCCCACTTTGTTTCTCCCTTTGATCCAAATCTCACAAGCTTTTGTGGCCCGGCCTTTGGGGCCGAATTCTGGGTTGCGGGCTCCACAAAGTGACGAGCGACTGTGATCGGTGATGGAAGAGGCCTGTTTGTCATGAATTCTGGGGTTCCTACCTCCTTCGGCATGCAGTCTTCAGCCATGGAGTTGCAGCACTTGGAAAACACCTCACCAGAGTCTTCCGCTAGCGGGGAAATGTCCTCAAACGAGGCAGAGGGTATCTTCTGTGCAAGCATGATTAAGGTGCTAGACAGTCACAAAATGCAAAAGGGAATTAAGTATTTTAGCCGTTCCAAAGCCAGCTTCCCTTTCTGAAATCCTATCCACTGATATTTGTAGGGCAAATTCCATAGGTTTAGAACATGAGTCACTTAAAAGAGATTTGCTTGTTTCATGCTATGTACCAGTAAGGCTGCAAAAGATTGGAAAGAAAGCAAATTCGGTGTAGTCTTTCCTGAATGTTCAACCATGAGCAGAGAAAAGACATTGCCCATACTTTAGTGCTCAACTGGATAAGATGAGCTGCACACCTCTTACGGTTTTTAAAAGAATATGGACTAAAAATAAGAGAGTGGTGTGATTTTGTTGCTAGAAGAGGGAGAGAAAACCTCAATTAGACACACAACCCACGCCAGTGGGGATAATGACTGATTGCCTCCTAGTCTGAGTTAGGCAGTGATCCATCAGGAACATGGGCCTTATAAGCAGCCTGTCAGAAGCTTGAGTGAAAGTGGGAGGAATAGTAGCAAGATCGACAGCTGAGGTTTACAGTAAGTATTAGGATCAACCGTCAGGCAGCAGGTCTGGCCAAAAAGCAGAGCTAGAGACAGGTTGGGGGAGCAGGCTGAGGGCCAATACCAGCTATCAGCATTCTCACTGGTATTCCAGTGGGGGTCGCAGTCCATGTCAGAACTGAGGTCAATACTGGGAGTTCAGGCACTGAGAATACAGGGTGTTCATGGCTGCCAGCTAGCACTCTGCGTTACTGCCTGACCACTTCCTGGATTGCTCCTTGGGTTTTATAGAGAGTGGGGAGTCAATCAAATGCCATGATGCTGTTGTCTGTCAAGCCCTCCCCCCGAGGTGGGACTTCCTCTGGATCTGCAATGAGTCTTGGGTTGGGTTGCAGGAGCTGGTAACAGTGTGGATGGAGGTGGTGCTCACTTCCTGGCATCCCTGCAGGCCTATGTATAGACCAGGCCTGGACAAAATACGGCCCAAGGGCCGCATGCGGCCCACAGGGGCTCACTGTGTGGCACATGACAACTACAGGTGGCGCGGCCCCATCCGATCTGTTGGCTGGGCGGAGGAGCGGAGCGCTGCTGGGGAGGGGGAAGTGCGGCAATTCTCACCGCCGGGCTGCCTGCGTGCAGCTCCAGCGCGAGGAGGCAGGGCGGGACGCCAGGACACTGGCGTGACATGGCCCAGCTGATTTTAAAGGGCTGCGGCAGCTCGGCTCTGGCCACGTGTCCCCGGGAGCTGGCTGCGGCGAAAAAGGCAGAAGCCAGGTAGGGGAGGGGAAGGGGGCAGATCAGGAGAAAGGGGAAGACACCAAGGGGCAGGGTGAAGGAGAGACAAATGTCAGGGGGCCAAGTGGAGACACGTGGTGTTTTTTTTGTTTGGTTGGTTTTTTTGCTCAAAAAAGTTTTTAGCCGTGTGGTTGGTATTTTTTGGGAGAGAATCTCTGCTTGCGGCCCGCAGCTGTTTTCTTTGGAGTGATATGGCCCTCGTCGCTTTCCGAGTTGTGCAGGCCTGGTATAGACCCACTGGGCCTTACACAAGTTGAGGGAGCAGTAGCCGTAGCAGTATTTGTACAGGAAAGCCTACCCGTTTGGTGTTGTGTATGAACTGAGCCATGGGAATAGAGCTAACTATGCTGATGCACCCTTGGAACAAGGGATTCGGTGTCCAAGGAGACCATGCTGGGGGTGAGACTCCGGGAGGGGGACTAAAGGATAGAAGAGACCCATAGGGCAGGCTTCTGTATGGGGGAGGCTTTCTGGTTGGGCGTGGAGCAGGGGACTGAAGAGAAGCTCAGGAAGGACGGTGAGTTGCGCTCAGGAGCTTGTGTGTGTGTCGGGACTTTGAGTGCCCTGGAAGGGGACTGAACTTTGAACTCATATGTGACTTGGCTGGAGGGCCAGGCCATGGAAGACCCATGCAGACAGGATGGCAAGCAGAAGTGATGAGCTGGGGTTCTACTCTGGCAAGTTCCCAGTCCAGTCACTGGGAATGATGCCTGAGCAATGGTGGCCGGGTGACTAGTGAGTAGAGATGCCTCCCTTTGGCCCTGTGTAAGGATAGACTGATGGCTTGAAAGATGCATACCTTGAGCAAAGACTCTCATTAAAACACTGTCGTTGGGAAAGAAACAGACCAACATTTTCAACCCTAAATGTAGTCACCTCTCTCCCTGGGTTTTCAGAGGTGCTGACCAATTGATTTTCAGCAGCTCTGAAAAGCAGCACATTCATCATAGTGCCAAACCTAGGACATCTCATGTGAGATAATGGCCTAAATAGCTGGGAAATCCAGAAACATGGCTTCATACCCATATTTAACTCTGAAACCAAGAGTATCCATGAGCACTTGCCACCTTTATCCCTGAGGGTGTATCTACACTTGCACCTTCTTCGAGAGAAGGATGCAAATGAAGACATTCAGAATTGCAAATGAAGCTGGGATTTAACTATCCCATGCTTCATTTGCATATTTGCGTTATGGCGCTATTTCGAAATAACAGATGCTGTTAAGACATGGTTATTTCGAGAGAAAACCCTTGTCTCGAAATAACCCTTATTCCTCATACAATGAGGTTTACCAGTTATTTCAAGAGAAGGGTTTTCTCTCAAAATAACCACGTCTTAACAGTGTCTGTTATTTCAAAATAGCGCCATAACGCGAATATGCAAATGAAGCGTGAGATAGTTAAATCCCGGCTTCATTTGCAATTTCGAATGTCTTCATTTGCATCCTTCTCTCAAAAGAGGGTGCAAGTGTAGACACATCCGGATACACTCGTGTGCTCTGATATTTTCCCACCTTCTGGTACCAGTCAAGAGACCAAAGCGTTCATATCTTTCTCTCTGTATTCAGTATATAAACAACAGCCTCCCTATTCACAATTTCATTACAAAGCCCAATCTACTCTGCTTTATCTCTGCAGGCTAGAAACAGTATATGCTTCTTAATCACCCTTCTTACTGGATTTGAGACTCCAGCACCCAAGAGAGGTCTTTAATCATATCAGTTGAAATAATTTTGGGTTGAATGAGAGCCCATCTAAGCAAGCTCTGACATGGTACAAAAGAATAGTAATAGGTTAGACTGCTTGCTCCGTATCTCTACCAAGTACATCACTTTTCCACAAAATGCAATACAGCACTTATTTATTTTTCAGATCCTGCTAAATCTTACATAAGAACGGCCATACTGGGTTAGACCAAAGCTCCATCTAGCTCAGTATCCTGTCTTCTGATAGTGGCCAATGCCAGGTGCCCAGAGGCAATGAACAGAACACGAAATCATCAAATGATCCATCCCGTCATCCATCCTTACCTTCTGACAAACAGGCTAAGGACACTGTTCCTGCCCATCCTGGCTAATAGCCATTGATAGACCTATCTTCCATGAATTTATCTAGCTCTTTTTTGAACCCTGTTAAAGTCCTAGTCTTCACAACATCCTCTGGCAAGGAGTTCCACAGGTTGACTGTGTGTTGTGTGAAGAAGTACTTTCTTTTGTTTGTTTTAAACCTGCTACCTAGTAATTTCATTTGCTGATCCCTAGTTCTTATGTTATAAGAAAGAGTAAATAACTCTTCCTTATTCACTTTTTCTACACCAGTCATGATTTTATCGACCTCTATCATATTCCCCCTTAGTCTCCTCTTTTCTAAGCTGAAAAGACCCAGTATTATTCATCTGTCTGCATATGGCAGCCATTCCATTCTTCTAATAATTTTTGTTGACCTTTTCTGAACTTTTTCCAATGCCAATATTTCTTTCTGAGATGAGGTGACCACATCTGCATGCAATATGCAAGATGTGGCCGTACCATGGATTTATATGGAGGCAATAAGGTATTTTCTATCTCATTCTCTGTCCCTTTTTAAATTATTCCTGACATTCTGTTTGCTTTTTTTGACTGCTGCTGCACATTGAGTGGATGTTTTCAGTAAACTATCCCCAATGATTCCAAGATCTCTCTCTTGAGTGGTAACAGCTAATTTAGTCTCGATCATTTTGTTCATATAATTGGGGTTGTGTTTTCCAATATGCATTATTTTGCATTTATCAACATTAAAATTCATCTGCCAGTTTGTTGCCCATTCACTAAGTTTTGTGACTTATTACACATTTACAGTAAATGGGAAATTCAAATATGAAGACCGTCACTTCTGATCTGCATTAATATATGGAACATACAGTATTGTGTTTGTACCTGAACTTAGATTTTTCTTTCCCATATACTGCATAGCGGGAACAAATTCTGTTTGACAGGGTGGTGAGTATGGATGAAGACTTTCTTTCTAGTCTCTGGAACAGAAAGGAGAAGAACTGCATTAGACACCGATTAACTCCTGGACTTATAGTCTATGGGGGGCATTCATATCAGTCAACTGGCCATCCAGCTTATTACCCTAAATGAATACAGATTCCCCCATTAAGCCTCAATGGTGTTCAGAGCTAAACAGTGCTGCTTTCCTATCCATCCACTATCACTTGTGGACTTTCAGTTTTGTGGTGGATCAAGGGGATATTTATATAGTCCTTCGGCTCATGTAAGATGGACTGTCACCTGGGGTCCACAACTGCACCCCATTCTTCCTATGATGAATATTCTTTTCACTGCTTCAGGGGGTAGCTGAGTTATTCTGTACAGGATAAACTTAAAAAACAACAAAAGGTCTAGTATAGTGGTTCCTAAACTTTTCAGCATCACGCCCCCTTTTTGATTTTTGAAAAACCCTCACACCTCCCACTCCCCCCAAAAATAGCAGCAAAACTTGTTGAGCAAAAAATAATAATAATAAAAAAGGAACTGACCGGGACAGCAAAACCTGATGGGGGGGGGGAAGGGGGGCAAAGGGAGAGGCTGAGTCGTCTCACCCCCACCTCTGGAATTTCTTCATGCCCCCCCAGGGGGACACGCCCCGCAGTTTGGGAACCCATGGTCTAGTAGCACTTTATAGACTAACAAAACATGTAGATGGCATCATGAGCTTTCATGGGCACAGCCCACTTCTTCAGATGACTGGAGTTATGACTTTATAATGTGCAGACCCAAAATAAATAGGGGAGGAGGGAGAGAGGGGAAGGAAAAAGAGAGGGGAGTGGGTGGGAAACAAGGAGCAGAGGGAATGAAAATATCAAAGGGGAAAACAAGTAGGGTTTTTACAGGTTGCTGTGTTGATGAACTGCTGCTTCCCTCTTCCTTGTCCTGAGGAATGTCAGAAACTCAGGTTCTCTCAGTCATCTGAATTTCTCAGTCATCTGAATTTCCTTTCCTCATAATTCACTTCCTTTTAAAAAGTGGGTTTTAGCTCTTGAATCTCTTTATTTTTATTTAGAATTTCAAACTTACTCTTGAATCTCTTTATTTTTATTTAGAATTGCAAACTTACTTTCTTTCTTTCACTTAAAGATTAATATTCTCCAGAGGGGTGATTCTTTCTCTTTGACAGCCTGGGCCCTCTGCTTCCCTGCCAGAGCCTTCTCCCATCTAGCCAGGCCTGCTTTACTATTAGCAATGTGTGATCCCTTCTCACCAATTTGTAATTTTATCCCCGCCTCTGGGAGATCGTGATCGCCATGCTGAGAAGCTCACTGCAGTGATCCTCAGCCTGTGGCGATGGACTGAAGCTTGAAGCGTGCTGGTTATCGGAGTGTTGCCCAGGATTACACACATACATGTTTCACTCTGAGCAGGGAACTCTAACAAGAGAATGTGGTAGCATCACCCCCCCAAAACCCATTTTCCAACCTTTCTTCTCTGCCATATCAGAGTGGAAACAAACACCCAATAGGCAGAGAAGGAGCGAGCAAAGATATGATTCTCTCAGCAGCCAAAAGAGGGACATATGGAATCAGCGACGTGTGTCACACACATGCAGAAGCACCGTCACAACACCAAGATGACATGATTGTGTGCAACACTTTGAAGAGGGAAATTGTTCGGTATCTGCTAAAGTTTGAGAGCTGCTGCAGTAAACGCTTCAGACCTGCTCCCCTTGTTTGTGGATCTCATGCTGTCATGTGCCATGGCTCCCCCAGCTCGCTAAACTCTGGAACTCCTCATTTTTAGGCTGATCTACCTGCACATGGCTCAATAAACATATTGCATGTTGGAGCGAGAGGACAATATCTGCTCTCATGATAGCTAAGAATAGATCATTTTTAGTTCAATACTTCAGCTTTGGAGACATTCCTCTTCAGTTGTAATGGTTTATAATTTTTTTCTGGCCTGCTAACCATCATGCACTCATCCTGGTATGTGGGTTGGTACAGGACCACAGAGGTCCCTAAGTCAGTGCTAATTTACACTACTTTCCAAATGTCTAATACTGAGGAAGCCAAATCGTGAACTTCAGGATTGCCACTAATTCCCTTCTTATGAATCTCTTCAATTCAGCAGTTTGGGTGTCTCCATCTTTGCTTCCTCCCCTCTTTTCAAACTGCAAAATTTTGGCACTCAGCATATACAATGGTTTTCCAGATGGCGGGGAATGACGGGAGTGGTGATGTGCAGGTGCCACTTAGTAGGAAATGAACATTGTATTTGTGCTGTTCGCTTTATTTCCCAGCAGGCTGAAGACACAGTGAATTGGTGCACCTGCCTCCACTGCATTAACAACAAACCCGCTGGTGCTAGGAAACCAAATCAAAACTACAGATCCTATATGTGATGTCTCTGAACTGTATGCACAGGTAGAGAGCACATGGAGATAGATTCAGAGCAACCCCCCTTTTTGTTACCAGTAAGGGAGGGCTGTTTAGTAGCCCCCTTTCTCCATCAAAGAAATGACTTGTGTTCTCTCGGTTTGCCTTAAGACAGCGATTGTTAACCACGATTAGTAAGTGGGCTGCAGGAATAGCCCTCCTTCACCTCAGTGGGCTGCATGTCTGTCCCCCTCCTCCATAGCCTTCTCACACACTGGGGCACTGGAGCCTCACCCTTACTGCTCCTCCCCTGCCCTCCCAGCACTTTTGTAGCGGCACAAATCTGCTGACTCGCACTCGGTCCCCTCCCTCCCAGAGCTAGAACACAGCAAACAGCTGACTTGGGGATGCCGAGGCTTGGGGAGGGAGGGGGAGAAATGGGGACGGAGCATGAATCAGCAGATTCGTGGCACTCGGAAAATGCTGGGGGTGGGGGAGTAGAAAGAGTGGGACTCCAGTGCTCCAGTGCACAAGCTGCAAATGGGGAGGGGGAGGAAACAGACAGGCCTGTAGGCTGCAAGGTGCTCACCACTGCCTTAAGGGATTGTGCAGTGTATTACAGTGACTCTCCATAGCAATAGATCTCTTGCAGGAAGACTTTATACTGTTCTGCTAAATCTTATTTTATGTGTGGCCTTATTAAAAAACCAAATGAAGACAAATAGAAGGTGGCAGTGACCTTCTTCTCTTCGGCAACTCTGAGTGTAACAAGATTGAGGTTTACATAAGGGAAACAGACTGATTATGCTGCAACCCAACCCGTTATTGAGCTTGTTTTCATTATGTGTGCCAGAACCAAGCAGACGGTGGGTAAGATGACGAGAGAGGTGTGAAATGCTCACAGTGGAACGCAGAGAGTCGACTTAGATTTTCTATCCACATTCATGATTTAGCAAGGTCCCGATGTGAAATGTAATAGAGTTTTGGCTGAGCTTCATTTGGAGTGTTAGAGTTTCACTTCAAGAATTAAATATTAAAGGAGTGCAAACGTGGGGGATGCCATGCAGAGCAAACTATTCCCTTCCTCACGGAGCAAAACAGCGAGAGTCACAGCGTAATCTTTATCAAAAGTCAGTGGCTGTCAGGACTGAATCTCTACACCCTGAATATTCTAGGTAATACTCGATCACTGTTCTATACAGCGTATATAATTTATGATGCATGTTGCTGCGTTTTCTACACATCCCACCATGCCACTATAATAGGGACTGTCAGGATTAAAGAACCCCTAGAAGAGGCAATTGATTGTAAAAAGCTGTGGTATTTTCCTGCTGTGGAAGCTGGCAGGAAAGCAAAGGAGGGGCATACTCACCTCTTTCAAGAAGCAGACGGTAGGGCTGGGTGAAATGCAGCAAGTCCCAACCATGGATAAGTAACTCTTTATAAAACCCACTAGTACTGGCAGTGGGGCTTGTCCATAGTTACTGGAATACTCATGTGTAAACCTAGAAAAGAGACATCAGTTGATGGGTGGATTTGTTAACTTTGAGAGGGATTTTCAAAGACGTCTGAAGGAATTTGGTCCCCCGATTCCTGAAGGAAAGTCAATGATTTTTCAAGGAGTTGGGTGCCTGATTCCCTTATGGGTGTCTAAATATCCCATCCTGGCATTTCTGCAAGTGTAACATACGCAATTTTTTCTATTAAAAAAATGGTGGTAGCCATGAACAGTCTGTCCACATATACCAGCTAACAAAATTAACTTACACCCCTGTGAATGAGTAATTCCTGCACTGAGATAGAACAGAAATATTCCAGCAAGTTTGTTTATTCATAAGCATTCTTTGATGGTAATTACAGACTGAACGTACAGGGTTTCATAACTGCCATGCTATAAAATATAATATGTGGGCTGGAATAGTAGAATCCTTATTCATTTCAGATAGATTATTAATCAAAGGTTTAACAAACTGATTTTTTCTCACGCCAGGCCTCTGCCAACCCTAACGAGTGAATTAGGTGGGTTATCAAAGATACGTACGTAGAGTGAGGTCACGGCTCTGTGCACCAATGGGGTGCAGAGTGGGGGAAAGAGGAGAAAATCTGTAGTATGTAAGTCATATGGAGGCATAATGCCAATAGGGGAGCTAGGGTCTTGCCCATCCTATGCACTGTAGGCCCATGAGCACTGGCAGTAATTCTATCTGCCTCTCTCACTTGTGCTTGCCACATTACTTACGGCCATATTATTGCTGTTTTCTATGTACCCACATGGATGTGGCCCTAAATATAGTATATGAGCTCCAAATTCTCCCTGGTTTGGCTTGGGTGAATTGTCAGAGTGACCAGATCTCTCTTTTATCCCTGGTGCATGAGACGGTTGCTTCTTTGACAGGCAATCACATTGGACACTGTATGTTGTGGTTTGGTTACATTTGCTTTGATTGCTAAGCAGCTAGCGCCAGTAAAAGGAAAGAAATCATAAGTAAATGTATTCATAAATGTAACAATAAACCATGGTCTAAATCCAAAATTGGCAGTCTTTGGCTTCGTCCAGACTGCAAGCCTCTTTCGAAAAAGAGTGTCTAGACTACAACCAGTACTTTCGAAAAAGCAAGCCGCTTTTCGAAAGAGAGCACCCAGACAGTCTGGACGCTCTCTTTTGAAAAAGCACAGTTTGCATTACATAAGTGCCTTTTTTCGAAAGAGCACTTTCAAAAAAAGGCATTATTCCTCATAAAACGAGGTTTTCCACAGTTGAAAAAACTGCCACGGTCTTTCAATTTACTTTCGAAAACACACAGCAGCAGTCTAGACACAGGGGAAGTTTTTTTTTTTTTAAAAAAGCCCACTTTTTTCGAAAAAAAAAAAGAAAAAACCCTGTAGTCTAGACACACTCATAGGTACTTACCATTAGATCCCTCACTCACACATTGATGTGTCGAGAGAGAGGTCTGCCCAGAGATTTTGATAGTCAGTGGGAATTGAGAGACTAAATCATTGTTGACCTTTGAAAATCTCTCTCTAGAACATCTAAGAAGAATTTTTACCATCAACCTCTACTGAGAGATTCCGGGCTTGATTTTAGGGCCTAACGATGCAGCTAGATATTTTTCTAAATTCTGCTAAACATCTATCCCCCTTTCGTTTCAACGGGAGACACCAGCCTCAGCGAGGCATTGCAATTAATGTGTATTAGGCGCCTACCTGTAGGTTTAAGTACCTAAATGCCTTTGAAAATCTGACCCTCAATCTCCATGTTAGTCTCTCAGGAGGACCTAAGAATGAGACCACAACTCTCCGCCATATGAGTCATAACAAGCAATGGTCCTAACTTCTTGAACCAAGAGAAACATGGCCTTTCATGGAGCCTTTTGAGCCTCAACTACCACAATCCAAGCGGAAGATGCTCTAAAAACTACACTGTACAGCAACTCTTCTTCACAGCTCACAGCACCCAGAAAAAATAATCCGACCCCCTTGTCTTTAAGAATAATATTGCCACTCCCTGACATATTTTATTAAGCTAAGCCAAAGCCCTCTCTGTACCACTGTCAGTGGAGCACCTCCTCCCAGGGACTGTGCCTGTGCGCATGGTAAGAAAGGTTCTTTGTACGCCTGCAGCCTCGTGCTTCCATGCAGGAGCCAGACACAATGCAGCATAAAAGGGAAATGTCTGTCAAGTGCTGAATCCCCCTTTAATAGCACTTGGCTGACACGTGCATGCATCCCAGTCACATGTGGTTGAGAAAAAGCAGAATCCGACGGAGAAAGTCTGTTGACTTGCTGATGAGCTGGTTCGAAAGGAATTAAGGGAGTTAATTGTGTTCTCAGGCTATATTCAAGATGTGTAAAGCTCCTAAGCCAAACCCGGCCTCCTACTGCTTACCTATCTGCAAAATCCTGCGGGTCCTTTTTGAAGGCCTCGCAGAGTTCTTCATTCGAAGGCTCCACGTATGTAGGGACCTCTTTTGATGGCTGCTGCAGGGCGGCCAGGCAAAGCTTTCGCTCGAGCCCTTCGTGGGTACAGCAAGCCGCAATCCCTGGGTGCTCGGGGTAAGGCGCGTTTTCATCACAGGACTTGGCAGACAGAGCGGAAGACTGGGGGAGGGGAGAGGAGAAGGAAATGGAACGAGAGAACGTTAATGTCCAAGTTCCCAGGCTCGCAGCAATTACACTTTTCAGACTTGTTCTTAGGTAAAACATCGCCTTCCTCTACGGGTGAAACCCACTTCTGCCCACAGCTCTGTGGAGAAGAACTGGAGGTGGGTTGGGCTGGTGATACCTCATCTTGGAGGAGGGGGGACAGAAGCGCAGGTATGTAGCACAACACCAGAGAGTCACCACCTCATTCCTCTCTGGCTGCAACACCTCCCAGCCTGTACAGTACAGGTTGCATCCCTACAATCCTGGATTCTCTGGTCCAGCAACATCCATGGTCCGGCATGACGACCGATGTTCCAGGATCAGAGAGTCCCGGCTCACAGCAGGAGGGTGGGGGTCTGGGAGCCTGTGCATACCTCAGTTGGGCTGTGAGGAGGGATCCAGGAGCTGGCGTGCAGCTCAGTTGGACTTTGAGCGGGGCCGGAGCCACACAACTCATGTGGGCTGTGAGGTGGGAGCAGGGAGCAAGCGTACAGCTCAGCTGAGCTGGGAGAGGGCATCCAGCAAGCTGGCGATGGGGGTGGTGGAGAGGGAGGGGCCTGAAATGGCTTCCCCTGGTCCAGAAAAATCAGATCCTGAGGGTGCCAGACCAGGGAGGTTCAACCTGTAGTACATTGGGACCACATTATTAGTAGTTTATTGCATACCCAAGAGTGTACTCTGCTATACCTCCACCATGTAATACAGTCCTAGTAACATGAGATTTCCCCTTCTGCTCTTCATTCTCTGGTGAGAAGTGGCACAAATTAAGTTTCTGGAAGGGGGTGGGGAATGTGTTGTGTGGGAATTTTGTTAACCATCCTACTTCAGTGTAGCTAAGGCCAAACCCTGACTTTTGGAAAGCCAGTTTACGTTCAAGGTTCTTCTCCGAAGGAGATAAAGATAACACAAACCATGCAAAGGGGTCTGACCCACGCACCTTCCACGAGCCGCAGAACAAAAACCCAGCTTTAATGCATAAAGCAAGCACCAAAAATAGTGGGGTCTCCAATGTATAAAAAAAAAAAAAAAAAAGCAATCACCAAGGAGAAGGAGAACTGCAGTGGCTGCATTATGAAGTTGGCATCATCTTTTGCTAGTGACCACAGTGATATCTTAGCATAGGAGAGAATTGCCGTGTTTCAGACACCAGGGAATGGTACCTGTGGGAAAACATTCCAGCTAATCTGTGTATAGGAGGGGTGGAGAGGTTGGCAGCCGAACAAAGGCAAAACTCCCACTGACTTGTTTTAAGTCAGAGGGCTGCAGGGTGTCGCTCCAAGGGGATGTGGTTGTTAATCTCAAATTCCACCATTGGTTGCGCAGGGTCCTGTGGCAGTGGAGCTGATGCATTTCTGTGGTGAAGGGAAAGGTGGGATTTGGGGGCTGTGCTGCATGGAGCCATGGAGGCTGCAAGGGAACAGGGGATAACTGGCTGTGGGAGAAGGGGAAGCAGATTATCTGCCATTCATGATCCTTCAATTCTCTGTCCCACATTAGGAGCATGTAACTGGCAGGCAGAGCTACTTAGCTACCTAGTGGATGCAGCCTCTACAGAGTGGATCTGCGGCGCTTTTGAGCTTGGGATGAGAGAATGACGATTCCTAACCCCCATCTGTGCATAGACCCATGCCCAGTCCAGTGACTCAGGCTTGGCCCTGACATGATAGAGTTAGTCTCAGGGGGAAAGAGGCAGGCGTGACTCCAGCAATGGGTATTTAGGTTGGCAGAAGTGGGCCCCCTAGTTTCCATGAGGCATTGGTCTGTTAGACATTCATCATCCCAACATTTTTATTTCTCCAGAAGCGATTAAAACAGAGCAGGGGGTCGGTGCTCAGGAAATGCAGCACATTCCCTTTCGGGGCTCTGCCTCCATATGCTGAATACAATTTGTAAAACCTCCTGGCCACGGGTACTATCAGATAACCACATTTAGTTCTTTTCACTTTTCAATCTCAAAACACTTTACAGAGGAGGTCACTAGGGTTATCCTCTGAGTACAGATGGGGAAACCGGCAGAAGGCAGGACAGTAACTTGCCCAAAGTCAAGAACAGTAGAGATGGCCCCAACCCAAATGCTTGGATCAGGGTATCCTCATATTGCCAAGACATAAGGGTATGCGTGTTGTTTCTTTAACTACACAGCCAGAAGCCAGGGGCTGGTTTTAGGCCAGGCCTGGGCAAAATATGGCCCATGGGCTGGATCCAGCTCACCAAGTCACCAGATCTGGTCTGCGGAGACAGTGAGGAGCCCCAGGCAGGCTCCCCTGCAGCCCCACATGCTGCTCAGAAATGCGGCTGTAGGGTGCTTTCTCTTTATGAGTCTGGAGCAGAGGGGGGAATATTCAGATGCTGCTCCTGCCCCCAGCACAATCCCATTGGCTGGCCAACGGGAGCTGCTTGTTTGAATAACAGGCAGCCCGGAAGCACAACCCCCACTCCCTCCTGCTCAGTTACTCGTTCAAGCACATGGCTGAGCAGGCAGAAACATTTTAAGCTCTGCAAGCCTTTAGCTCTGCAGGCAGGCAGGCTGGTTTGGCTGCTGGCTGGTAAGCCTCTGGCCAAAGCCTGTCTCTGGCACCCCAGCCCTCCCTTCTCCAACCCTCTGCCCCCCAGTCCCACCCCGCTACTCCACATGCACGCATACCCCCTCCCAGATCTAGCACCCAATCTCCTGCCGGAGATCACAATCCCCTCCTACCCTAGGTCACATCCCAAAACCCTGCCCTGGGTCACAACCATCTCCTTCACCCAAACTACCTCCCAGACTCCATTCTCCCTTCTGCACCCAACCTCCATCCCCAGATCCTCTATTAATACCATGGAAGAGTGAGGCCTTCAACAACTTTCCAAAATCTTGGAGTGGCCCCCACATCAAAAATTATTGCCCACCCCTGTTCTAGGCAAAAGTTCTGAAGTGAAGAACTTCACTTTACCATTTTCAGCTGAAACCTCCATTGGAATGTTACCAACAATGCCTACACATAACTATCTGTAAAATGGAGCCAGCATACTGTTTCTCTCAGTTAATCATGTAATAAAATGGTTATGTGCAATATATTATTCAGCCAGTAGAAGTCTCTGTATGCCATTCAGAATTCCAGGTAGTACTGTTGGGAAACCGCATAATGAACTGTGTCAATCAAATATGTGAAGTCCCACCCCCATACTTTATGAAAATTGTGTTATAAATATAAACAAGCATCACACGAAGATGCTTTAGACAAAATACCTCATGTAACCCATCAATATGAATGTTACAGTTTGCTAGATCTATATATCCTAGTGTGGTGCGTATATTGCTCTTGTATGTGAGGTTTGACATGTGTAGTGTGAGTCTGCTTATTGTTTAAAACGTGCTAATGAACATAATGACTGGGTGTTCAGCTTAACAATTTGTAAACAACCTTGTTTGTCCTGTAAATGCAGGAGGTGTACCGTCTGGAAAGAGATATGACCATACTACCTTGTACTGGGACCCATCTAGAACATGCTATATTTCCACAGAAGGGGGATGTTAAATGAAAGATTCCCACCCTTGAGTATAGTCTGTTTAAGCAACGGGAAGTTATGGGTCTTTTGCCTCCGGTTGGCCTAAGAAATGGCCCGGCACACCCTAACTAACAGGATACAAAGAAGGCTAAAGAACCAAGTCAGTGTGCCTCTGACTTGAGATATATATACTGTAAATGTTAGAGATATGTATATTATACAGTATTATAATAGACTAGAAAGGAATTTGTACATGTGTGTCTCTGCTGATGGAATATTTTTTAATTGAGCTGGAAAAGCATCGGGATTGTATAAACTCTGAAATCTGGCTTGTGTGTGTCTTACTTGGTAAAACCTTGGTCTATGTAAATGGCAAAGTGAAACAGAGTGTCATGAGGGGATTGTTAATTTCAGATGCCCTCAAGACAAGCTGATAAACAAAATCCGAAGGCTACAAAAACAGACTAATAAGATTAAAACAAATGGAAAGAGCCAGTGGGATTAACAGCAGAGAATAGATGGTACAAGTAAAATAATAAAAAGAATTTTTAGTAAGGCAAGCAAAATATATTAGTTCATGGTTGTTATTTTGATTTGTGCATAAAAATGTTTGGTTGGGGATTTAGAATGGATAGGTTCCGAGGTAACTTCCACGTTGTGGAAGATCGACACTGCTGCGATTGATCTTCTGGAGTTTGATTTAGCGAGCCTAGTTAGGACTTGCTAAATCAAACTCAGAGGGCGCCCTTGCTAGTGGCTGAATCGCCTGCTCTTGTGAGGAATAAGGAAAGACAATGGGAGCATTTGCACCAGTCGGCCTCCTGCTATGTATTCTACATAGCTGGAGTTGTGTACATTAAGCCAAGTTTCTGAGTCTAGTGTAGACCTGGCCTTAGTAACTGAATCTGTGCACAGCTATGGAATAGGATATAAAAGATAGGGACTGACAAGAAGAGAACTTGGAGAGAAAAAAGGAGAAGAACATAGAGACCACAGACTTGGAAAAAGTCTGCCTATCCCCAGAAGAGGTCATTTCTAGATGGTAATAGCATTGTCTTAACATGTACAAAATAAATTGTACAAGAAACTATTTAGGCCTAAATTGGAATGGCCTTTGTCATCATATGGGGTGGGGCCTGGTAAACAAAGGAGAAAAAGCTGAGACCCAAGCTGTGTGGAAACCTGTTTGTCTATAGTTAGAAGCTGCTTTCTTCAACAAAGGCATCGTGTTGAAGGTACTGTGAGTCTATGGAGCATGACTTACCTCAGTTTCATAGCAGTCAGGGTCAGCCCCTGGGGCACAACACTTTTCTGCCAGGGTGACTACCTCTTTCACAAGGTTACTGATCTCTTCAAACGTGGCATTGGAGAATTTCTTGCTGTTCATGATGATTGCTCTGGGAACAAACAAGAGGCAAAGGTCTCATGGCAGGTTTGGGGATGTGTTTTTGTTGGTCTCTGAAGCCCTACTGAAATAAAATCTGGCCGGATGCTGTTACATGCTTGATGTGAAAAAGAGCAGCGTTGGGTCTGAAATACGAAGGAACATTTTCTTTTCAAGCCTGTTTGGTCACAGGACTCCCTGCTTTTGCTGTAGAGCAGGGTCCTGCAAACTTCATGGTGCCATGGCCCCCCTCTGACAACAAAAATTACTGCAGGAAGGGGAACAGAACCCTGAGCCCCACTGCTCCAAGCGGGGGGAGGGCACGGCTGACGTTTAAGGAAGGGGCCTGTAGCGTGAACCCCATTGCTGAGGACTGAAGCCCTTAGACTTCAGCGTCGACCCCAGAGAGTGAGGCCTGGGCTTCAGCTCTAGGCCCCAGCAAATCTAAGCCAGCCCTATTTACTCTATGAAAACAGGGTGAGGACCTTCTTTGGGGGCCCAACCCACAGTTTAAGAACTCCTGCTGGGGAGCCTTATTTTCAGGATGTCTGTGTCCCAGCTTCCAGTTTGCTCCCGCTACTTTGCAGCCAGAAGTAACTGTGGGCACAGATTTCTCCCTCCTGTCTGATGTCACATACATGCCTCAGTAGCTGCAGATCAGGCAGTTAAATATCCAGGGGTACATTTAAGCTGCAGCTGGGAATGTGCTGCCCAGCTCAGACAGACACTTGCTAGGTTCTGTGCTAGCTAACATGCTGAAAATAGCAGTGTAGTGGGGGTCAGAGAGACTGATGCTGACATTCAAGCAGAAGGCTGGGAGATAGGCACCCAAACACTATTAAACTACAATCCGATTTAGGTACCTAACTTCTTTTGAAAATTCAAGGCAAACAAACCACTTACAGTCTAAGGCCCTTATCCTGCAAACATGCAGGTACTTAACTCCAAGGGAGTGGTCCCACTGAAATCAATAGGACTCCCCATTTATAGAGGTTAATTACAGTGAAACCTTTTAAAACCATTTTTCCTTTTTATAACATTTTTCTCTAGGTTAGCTAGCATGCTGTATCTTAGCAGTGCAGGTTCAAAGCCAATGCTTCCGAGTTCTTGGAGGTACGTACAGAGTTCGGAAGTTGTCTTTTCCCATGTGTATGAATTCTTGGCAGACTTTGTTCCGTTCATAGTCCCGACCTGCAAAATCAGTCACAGGAGAATTAGCATCAGCTACTTGTTTTGATAAAACAGATGCAGAAGAAAACAAAACATCTCTCTCTGTCCTTGAGCAGACAAAGATGGCCCTGGGTGAGACCAAATCAAAGCAGAAAAACCAGACCCAAACAACATATTCTAATTTCTACTGCACACACTTTTCTCTTTGGGAAAGCATGAGAGAATACACAAGATGACAAATGTTAGTTACACCTCTCACGGAGGGACTGCAAGGCACTCATATCCATGATGATGAGCACAATATAAAATCCTATATATAATAATATTGTATGTTCTTGAGGGTCTGATCTAAAGGCCACTGAAGTCCATGGGAGTCTTTGTATTACTTCTTTTGAAAATTCAAGGCAGACAAACCACTTACAGTCTAAGGCCTTGAGCCTGCAAACATACAAGTACCTAATTCAATGTGAGTGGTCCCACTAAAATCAATAGGACTCTTCATTTATGGAGTTTAATTATAGTGAAACCTTTTAAAATTATGTTTTTCTTTTTAAAGTATTTTTCTCTAAGGAGAATGTATCATCTGCTACTTGTTTTGATAAAACAGATGGGCTGTCTCTAGACTGCATCCCTTTTCCATAAAAGGGAGGCAAATTAGACTTCATTAGAAAAAAAAGGCCTGCCGCTTTTTTCCGGCTCAGAGCTTTGCCGGAAAAAAGCACCAGTCTAGACGCGGATCTTTCGGACAACAAAGCCTTTTCCGAAAGATCCCTTATCCCTCATTTTAAGAGGGATAAGAGATCTTTCGGAAAAGGCTTTATTTTAAGAAGGAAAAGGGATCTTTTGGAAAAGGCTTTATTTTCCGAAAGATCCGCGTCTAGACTGGCGCTTTTTTCCGGCAAAGCTCCAAGCCGGAAAAAAGCAGCAGCCATTTTTATGCTAATGAAGCAGGAGGGGATTTAAATCCCCGCTTCATTTGCAATTGCGATATGTCTAATTTGCATCCCTTTTACGGAAAAGGGATGCAGTCTAGACACAGCCATGCAGAAGAAAACAAAACTTCTCTCTCTGTCCTTGTGAAGACAAAGATGGTCTTGAGTAAGACCAAAACAAGCCACAAAAAGCTTAGAAGAGGCCCCTCTTTCAAAAAAATTTGTGGTTTTTTTTTAAACTTGAAAGGTATTGCCATGGCTACTCCCACTTTCCAGCCATCTCTTGTGGAAAAGGCACACACATTTTGCCACTATTATTATTAGAAAATAACTGTCCATGCGCACATGGTTCATTTTGTACATGTTGTTAGGGTATCTTTATAAAAAAAGCAGTGGGCGTGAAATTCATTCCTCTGCCGAGGGCCGGCATCAATTTTGTGTACCAAGGGATTTCCTCTTAAGCCCTCAAAATAGTGGTACAGAAAGCCTGTGCTGGCCCATTGCATGAGGATGAATTTCATCCCTATATAATCTAATACAAAACAACAACATACAATGATTCAAAATAGCCTCTAGAGTTCAATACAGAATTATATCCCTGCTGCAGAATTCCATAGAATGGTTTAAAACAAACCAACTCCTCACCCCACCCCCCCAAAGCCGCAGATGTCTACAAAAGAATATACTTCTCTGTTCAGTTTGACACTTTAGGCTCTTGGAGTAATTTTCACAGAACTCCAATTAATTTTCATTAACCCCTATTTGTTCCATCCCTCGTTAATTCAGTAGGACAGTTCTGTAAGCGTATTTGTGCCTACAAAAAAGGTATACGCTGAACTTTGAAAATCAGGTCAAATTTTGAACAGCTCCATAATAATTCAGGTGCTCAAAAAGTGCTATTCAGAAATTAGGCTCTTGGAGTAATTTTCACAGAACTCCAATTAATTTTCATTAACCCCTATTTGTTCCATCCCTCGTTAATTCAGTAGGACAGTTCTGTAAGCGTATTTGTGCCTACAAAAAAGGTATACGCTGAACTTTGAAAATCAGGTCAAATTTTGAACAGCTCCATAATAATTCAGGTGCTCAAAAAGTGCTATTCAGAAACTGACTTCCTGCTGATTCTTACAAAAAATAGTTTTGTTACCAATTTCAAATGAGCTTTTGATTCATCATGGCCATTACCACAGAAATTAAATGGAATCCCTCCCATCTGCCTGCCATAAACACAATAACAATGGATCCTATAAAAATGTCTCCCTGGCTTTTCATGCTACTGGTCATCTGAAGAAGTGGGCTGTGCTCACGAAAGCACATGATACCTTCTACATGTTTTGTTAGTCTATAAAGTGCTACCAGACCATTTGTTTTTTAAGTTTATCCTGTACAGCAGAGGTGGCCAACCCGTTACAGGCAAAGAGCCAAAATAGTTGTGAATAAAGAGCAAAGAGCCAGGGGGAAAAGTTGTTGAGGGAAAAAAAAAAAAGGCCTGCCCCTTTAAGAAACACATTTAAAGGCTTTTTGGCCACATCAGGCTCCCGCTAGCCAACACCATGTTGAAGATGCCATTTTTAATGGCCACCCCAGACAGCTCCCCTACCCAGTGAGCACAGGGAGCCGGGAGCCAGGGGCTGTTTTCAGGGGCGCAGGCGCTACTTCACAAGTCATGGGGGCAGCTTCGTGAACTGCACCTTGAGGGGAGGGGAAGAGCAGTGAATTGGCCACGGCTGCTGTACAGACTAACTTGGCTACCCCCTGAAGCTTCTGTTCAGATTGTGTTTCTTCAGGAAGCAAAAGACAGACAAAAGCTGTCTGAAAAGCAGGGCCTGCTGCCTCAGAGGGCAGGAGCTCTGAGAAGTGCTGCAAGCATACATAGAAAGCTAACATTATTGCTTAAAAGCGTGAAGACGAAGGCAAAGTGACCCTGTGCAGAACAACACTAAAACCAAAGAACGTGGATTATGAACACCCGCAAATGCTTTTCTTGAATTTCTGGATTAAGAATAGTATTGTGACTGCTGTTTTTATTCTGCAATACCTAGCATAGCAGAATCACTATTGCTTTCTTCCCAGCTCTCACTTACAACAGTGTAAAAAACTCTGAAGTATGGGGAGATACCAAGTGTCTAAATCACTGTGCACCAAGGCTTACGGGAGGGAGAGAAGGAAAAAAAGATCTCATGATACTCCCCCACCCCTTCTCTCCCATTCCATCCTCCTCCCTGGGCCCAGAGAGAGTTCAAGAGCCCAGGGATCTTTCACTGTCAGAGATGATGCCTTTGCCTTGAGGCAGGGAAAGTAGTAGGAGGTGGCCAGGCTAAGAAAGAGTAGAAGGCGGTCTTCAATTTAGAGCACCACCTGTATGGAGGCCAGAAATTGTGGGTTGGGGAGAAGTATCTAGCTAAGAGTTCTTTGTTGTTCCTTGGCACTAGATATAACGGCGTAAAGCTGCTGTAATACGGTGGAGAATTCCTTTCATGCCCCCATATGTAGGAGACGCAAACCGATAATTAAAGCTTTGCAAAATCTGTGGGTATCCACTTTATATGTGCAGGTATCCGTGGCTCATTTTTGCAGATTCAGATATGGATACGCACTTCGCAGAATCCTGCAAATTTGAAGAGATCCACTCTATGCCTGCAGGTCTCCGCATCTGCAGATCTGGATGCAGACACCCAGGGATTGTTGTTGCAGATGAGGATGTGGATACCAATTCCATATCTGTGCAGGGCTCTACCGATAATGAGCTCCATTAATGGATACAGCTGCATTAAGGATGTTCCCATAAGACTGCACAACTGAGAAAAGCTGAATGCAGTGCAACCTAATGCATCATTGATGTTCTGTACACACTCTTCGTAAACACTTCACCACAGAGCGAATGCATATGGAGCAACTTAATTCTTCTTTTGAAGGCACTTAACAGGTACTACTGGGCATTTGCAGAATTTAAAGGAAGCTTGAAAAAATCCAGAGGGAAACTTATACTGTTATTAAATAATACAAAAAAATCCCATCTTGTTTATCTGATGAGATTCCAGTTTACTTAGTTCCAGAACTGACTTCATTTGAATTATTCAAGCTACTAATAGAATTGGTGTGATCCAATCACTTCATCGGCCTCTTTGCTGCATTACACTCACATTTTTCTGCTTTGGACGGCCAGAGAGAATAACATTTGAAGCTCTTCATGGACAGATGTCATGAGACAATTCTCTGCTTCAAGACCATTTCGTTCAAGAAAGCAGGCAGACAGACATGGCCAATTTCTAACTACGGCAAATATGGAGCAAAGGCATCTTTGTCAGGAAAAGCAGTGTTTACATGTGGCAAACACAAAGTTTGTCCTTCTGAGAGCCGTCTACACTAGAAAGTTATTTCAAAGTAACTTATTTTGAAATAATACCTTACAAAATAACTATTTTGAAACAGTGTGTCCACACTACAGGGACGCCTCAAAATTAGTCCAAGGCAGGCTCCCTTAATGTGGACATGCTACCTCGACTTAGAGCCCCATGAAGCACTGGGGGGAGTAATTCCTTTGAATGACTCTGGGGAATAGTTATTTCAAAATAGCAGCAACCGAGCGTCCACACTATCGCTATTTCAAAATAACTGTTTGGAAATAAGCCTTATTCCTCCTGGAAAGCAGGAGTTATTATTTTGAAATAACCAGCCCATTACTTCGAAATAACAGGCTTGGTAGGGTAGATGCTCCATTTGCTATTTTGAAATAGGGGGCGTTATTTCAAAACAACTCCTTAGTGTAGACCACGGCTGAGTGTCTATGAAAATATTAATTTGGCCACAAAATGACAGGGGGAGTTTTGCATAATGCTAATTAGGGCCTGATTTAGGAAGAGCTAGATTTTTGGCTTTGCCACAAGCCTGCTGGATGGGGTATAGAAGCAGCCCAGGGAAGTAAGAAAGGCTCACTTGCTTCTGGGAAAGAGCCATGTGTCGCTGGGCTATATTAGTAGCCAATTATAATCAGCCCCACAGTGATTCCATGATGCCGGTTTGTGCATTGGCTCCGCCCATTTCCCCTCCCATTCCCACTTACCTGCTTTCTGTTTCCAGTGAGGTTAT